CATCAGGTTCTAATGCAAGTTTTCTCATCTTTTCATTGAATATGTTTTTGTTAGGTGTTTGGTTAATATTTTGTCTCTCTGCAGTAAAACAAATCCGCCTTTAAAAAAAAATAGACTGTTCATTTAATTGTAAGTGAGCAAACATGCAAAATCAGCAGGGGATCAAATAATTATTTCCTCCACTCTAACCACAGTCTTTTTAGAAAAAGCACTCAGTCTGAAAAGCCAATTACACTGCCGACTTTTACACAGATTTCCATGTAAAGAAAAACAAAACAAAAAAAAAAAACATCTGCCCAAGAGCTTTGAGTGCTGCCACTGCAGCCGTCAATCAAGGACCCAACCAGCATGCACTCATGCAGAGGCACAATAACAACTTCAGGCACAACAATCCGCAACAAACACGTTCAACCGCACGCGGATGCGCACAGTCGTACACGGAGCCAAAGAGAAAGAGCGAGAGAAGTGCTGTTATGCAAATACGACGTGAAAGCAGAAGAATGAGCTTGGTGTGGTTTCAGATCAATGATGTTTGAGCTCTGGTTTTAATAGCGCTCGAAATGAGAGACGCACAGAAAAGGGGATTCAATGTAGAGATCCACTGAGAGATAGGGAAGGGGAAACAATCATCTTCAGAGACATGGAGGAGTTACGTAATGGGGAGATAAATGTATAATGTTCTGAGCGATAAATGGAGATAATACGGCCGTGTGGTTGTTGTGTGAGTTTGTGTGTTTGTGTTTGTGTTTGCGAAAACCCGGCTTTGCTGCAGTCACTGAACGATGGGGGGGTTTATGTAACAAACCAGTGCAGTCGTGAAAGGAAATCACAAGAAAATGAATAGCGTTGCTTCGGCGAGGAAAAGCAAAGAGAATGGGACGCGTTTTAAGCATCGCATACATAAGTAGGGAAGGGGGAAAAAAAGTGAGAAGAAAAGAGACATTAAAACACAGTGTGATCACTGCAAGTGTCAGAAATGCAGCTGATGAGCATTTCATTTGCCTTGAGGTGCAATGTGCCCTCCAGATGTTGGATCTAAAACATCTCTGAGGAAGACTTTGTACTCTTGAGGTGATGGACAAAGCCATTCACAATACATGCCCACCAGATGGCTGCACGCCAGGCCTACGTAGCGTATAACCAGGTTCTCTGTAAGAATATTCCTATGCTGACAAATGCAGACCACCCAACATGTGATGAGCTATGATTCTAGCAAATTTTGCTCTTCTTGTAAATACGATGCCATTTTCTATTTGCATTTCCTGTCACACTATCCTGTTGCCTTTTACCATTGTTGAGCCATAGTAACAGAAAATAACTATGTCTGTTGAGGCGCTTTAGATGCTATTCTGGGTTGTTTGATGACCTCCTTGGTGAGTCATCAATTCATTTTACATCAGTTCTGACTCGGTTTCGTCCATTTGCGTGTAGCAGCTCTTACTGTGGTGTGCAGGTGTCCCAAAGCCTCAGTAATAACTTTCTAGACAGCTAGAGCTGACGTTTTTACATACCTTAAACTCTGATTTTAATTCAACCAATACGTTTTGCCATAAAGTTTTGACATAAACCATTCCCCCACTGCAGCATTGCGACATAATGTTTTCATTTATATATTTGTACATTTTCAAAAGGTAAGCTGGCTTTTTCTTCAGCTTTGACCAGGAGTTGATGAGACACAAAACCAGTCTCCTCTCTCAACTATCTGTACTTGTGTTTTTTATTTTCTTATTATGAGACAAAAGAAGCAGCGTTAAGGTGTTGCCGTAAAAAAATACATGCAGAGGTGGATAAAACTCATCAACTGGGCTTTCCTAGATAGTTTAAAGGCATATTAACCTTAGCGTACATAAACTACTGACTTTGAAGAAAGCAATGAAAAACATCTTTCACATTCTTATGACATTTAGCAAATAAAAATGACTTTGAATATTGTGACTAAGCTAAAACAGCGAGTAAGAGAAGTTACAGTGTGTTCATTTTCATAGTGTTGAGTAAGTTCCGGTTTGAACTGCCTTTCATTGAAAAATCATCAGGTAGTAAAATTAGCCATGACATTGCATTATCCTGAAGTTGTGCTGTTGAAATACACAAAAAAGTCTTTCTTTCCCTTTACGGCTTCATATCCCAAAAACAGAACGGCAGCAGAGGCTGAAAAAAGTGGCGACATCAACAATTGATCTTTCAACAAGAAAACACACATTTGCCGTAGTTTTGGTTGCTTACAACACTGGACACTCACAACCTTTATAGATATTTACTCCTCATCTCCACAGGAAAGCTGTCAGTGGGCCAAGATAATAATAAATACAAGATATTAGACAATGCTTTATTATTTCAGCTTGAAGAAAGCCCAACGTGGTCCACGAAAATACTGCGATGTGACTGTGATGTTAAGTAGCCATGTGTTTGTTTGTTTTTATTTGCTTTTTTAAACTTGAATCTTATTGGCCAAAACCAAAAACATAAGTGTGTGAATAACCAAATAGAGCCCGGTTAACCAGCTGTGAGTTTCCCTCACACACACTGCAAAGGCTCACATGTAAACAACCAGAATTCAAGCACAAAGTTTACCATTTGAAAACCTCTCAAACTGCTATTCAACTTGTTTATTTTAAAAAACATAACGATAATAATAATGATTTTTCTCAGATGATCCAAATTTTTTCTGTTTTCGCTCCGGTGACTTTTTCCAGTCACCGGGTGATATATCACATATATCACATATATCACCCAAGTCATTTTTAAAAATATATTTATAAGAGCAAACAAGTCACTGTCCAGCTGTTTCCAGTCCGACATCACCAACGATATTGAACATGGAGGCCGGCTCACTGTTATAGATCTTATAGTTTAACAGCCTCGATGAAAAGCTACACCACACTCTGGCCATTGGACATATAAAAAAAGAGATCACTGAGGCTTTATGACAAGTTGCTGCCACAGCCTATACACACACACATGCACACACACACATGCATACGTTTCAGGTACTCATAGGTATGTCAGTGTCTAGATGCCTGTAACCATTGCAAATTCAGTTGCCTTCCTCTTTTAATAGCTGTCTAGACACAGTTATGCAACCATAATGCTAGATGTGCCTCTAATGTAAGAGGTGAGGTGGGTAATGGGGAACCAATATGGTTAAAAACAGAGAGCTGTTTGAACCGGTTGCTAAATCTACAGTAAACACTGATTTGATGAGACCAAGCTGAACTGTGGACGTTGTCATCTGTCCTGCAGCTAAATCAATCTCATCTAGGTCACTCACTACCAGATGACTGCATGTGTGCACATGTGTGTGCGTGTGTGTGTGTGTGTGTGTGTGTGTGTGTGTGTGTGTGTGTGGACGGCACAAACCAGTCAGCTGGCATCTAAAACAATGAGAAACTTACAACTTTCTTGCTGTAAAGCGTCTGTTTCAACAGAAAAAAAAATGTCTGTGAAATTGTTAACGTTTTAACTTATTTATTTTCACAAATAAAAGTCTTAAAAGTGTGCCATGTTTTAACATCTACTCCTCTTTTCCTTTAAGGTCTTTCGGTGCACCTCTTGGCACAACCATATACAGAAGTCGTTGCCCCTTTTGAGAAAATACCCTCAGCTCGTTCAGATTAGACAGAGTGTCTGTGGATTTCAACTTAACATCTTGTTAACATCTTGCTACAAATTCTCAACTAGATTCATGGTTTGAACTTTGACTAAGACAAATATGATCCGACTAAAACATTCAGTCGTTCTCTGGCCATTTGGAGTCAGTATCAAGGTGATTCTCTGCCTCAGTATGTCTCTTTCTTCTTGGCACTTTTCCAGGGATTCTTCCAGCAGTGGACCTCTGCCACTCCTCCAGAGTAACCTTTAGTTTCAAGGTGACTTCTCTGATTAATGATTCCTTTACCCAGCTGCCTAGTTTAGGTGGACAGCCACCTCTCTGTAGGTTTTCATTTGCGCCATGCTCTTTCCATTGTAGAGGTGGTGTGGATACATTTGTTCTTGTCAGGATGTTTTATTTGAACACGTCATGTTTATCCATGTCACAGTTTGGTGAAAGTAAAAGTAGAAAACATAGCATAAAGCAAAGCAAACAGCCATAATTTTGAAGAAGAATTTCATACCGTCATCATTGCCTGAATCACAAAAAAGATGGACACCTGCGGCACTTGTAAGATGCACTTTGATTGTAATATTGGAGATAAACTCTTCAGATGAAGTCAAAAGCAGGCAATCTTGACCGTTTTTGTCACATCATTACAGTCTGGCAGGTTGCACATCAATCTTAAACTTTGTCTGATGTTGAAGTCTGGATCTGTCACATTAGTAGCAATCAACACAGCTGCCAACAAACAAATGTGTCATGATGTGGTTTCATAAGATCATTTCTCCATTAAGGACAAATGGTTCGATTTGTAGGTATGAACATATTTTTGGCACATTTGGAAACCAATAAACTAATGGCTCAATGCAAATGAGTGAGACAATTTTCCTTCCTATTTATGCAGAAATGTTATGTTGGTCAATAACAAGAAAACCCAATAAACATATGGAAGTTTGTGATTGTAGTGTGACAAAATATGAAAAAAGCGCAAGACTGGGAATACTTCTGCAAAGCACTGTTTTGTAGGTAACGTTGTGAAATTGAATTAAAATGCTCAGAATCTTACCGATAAACATTTTGGAAGCACATCTACAGCTGTGCTAACTGAATTCAGCACCAGTCTCTTCAAAAGGTTTTGCAAACCTCAAATGTATTTAGATAATTTAAGACACAAACACCTGCATTTCAAATTCTGACATTAGTTGCTTAACTGTGTTGTTTACATGTGAAAGAATCTACCGCTGCTTCCTTTTTCAGAAAAGCTGAGAAACAGCAGGCTTATTTCTAAGCTAGTGCTGGCTAATAAAATAACACGTATAAATGTTGTGGAGAAGAGCGTTAAATGCTTTTTACCTCTCTCTCTCTCGCTCTCTCTCTATCTCTCTTCCTCTCTCTCTCTCTCTGTTTCGCTCTCTCCTTTCTGTCAGCGGCTGTCAGAAGAAAAGGAGGAAGAGGAGGAAGGGAAGCCAGTGCGGCGACAGCAGCTCACTCCGCTGACGGACAAGACAGCAACACCTCAACAAACAAGCAGCCACTTCTCTCAACTCCAACAACTATTTGTTGTTGTTGCTCTGCTTCAATAAGCGCTCTTTTTTCTTTATTTTTTTTTTCCACTCCCTTTCTCTCTTTTCTGCGCACCAACAACTTCGACGTGCCGAGCGGTTTAAATTGAGCAGCGCGGAGCAGGAGCCCCTGAACTCGGCAGAATGGCAGACTCGGCGGCCACCAACAGCGACGGGGAGGACGGACCCAAGCAGCCCATGAGGGGCTTCGCGCGCCAGGGTGCGCTCCGGCAGAAGAACGTGCACGAGGTGAAGGACCACAAATTCATCGCGCGCTTCTTCAAGCAGCCCACCTTCTGCAGCCACTGCACCGACTTCATCTGGTGAGGAGCGGGCGGGTGGTCGTTCGTGGTCTGTTTCAGTGGGGCTTTTTGAACAGTTGTTGCGCCACATCATGATGCTGCCGCCATCCTTTTTTGAAGTTATTTGATTTTATTTTTATTTGGGTTACCTTTCACAGAGACCGAAACATTTTCAGTTCCAGGAGAAGTGAAATACGGCCATGTTAACTTGCCCTTAAGAAATACAGAAAGTAGGTGGCTGCCGTCTTCTTAAAATAACCGACTACTTCAGCTTTCATCACACTTGTTGATGCTATAACTGTACACCAAGACAAAAAGGGAAGACCAAGAAATATGTGGGCTGTAGTGTTAAAAAAGAAAGAGTAGCTGCAGACCAACATTTGATGGAATTAAGTAGGTTGAAGAAGTGAGAGTGGATGAAAAATTTAGGTTTTTTTTTTTTTTTTTTTAGAACAAGCCTGGCTGGTGGAATAACCTGAGAGGAAATAATTGATAAGCACATACATGTTTAATTGTTTTTCTCCCTAATTTCTCAGTGATAAATGTTTAACATTTTGCTATATGGCTCACCACCAAGGGAGACACAGTCAAGGAGGGGCGACGGAAATGGTTGAAACAGATGTCAGCTTTTATTTACACCCCATCTTTCTGTTGCTTTTTTTTTTTGCATCTCCAGGAAGGGGGTAGCCCCCGCCCCCCCTCGTGTCTGGCACCCCTTTCAATTTACTGTATAGTACAGGTGGCTCTCAATGCTGATGCATCTGATTCCTAGCTGTTAGCCTAATGTCAAACAGATGAAAGCATGCAAGTCCTTAAACTGAATGATAAAGACGGGCCATTTATAAGCAGGTTGGGCTTCAGCAGGGCAGCCTTTCTTTTTTCTGGGTTGTGTGTGTGGGGCTTGGGGTGGGGGCCTAAAGAAGGGACTCGCCTGGGGGAGCTATTCATGCAAAAACTCCCACTGCTTGTCAGTAACCTGTGCAAACATGTCACCATCAACGCAGGCCACCTGGGTTTACTAGACAGCCGCACAGATCTGCACTCAGGTCGTTAAATTAATTTAGTGCTGGAGTTTGGCCTAATTTGTCCCGTTTATTATTATCTCTGCACCAGTCCCAGAATGGCTGTTAGTTCAGACCTGTGACAAGCTTTTTAATTTGTGAATGACTAAGTGATCTGACCTAGAAGATTATGTTTGGGACTTTAGATCCCACTGGCTGAAAAACGAGAGATCGATCTATCTATCTATCTATCTATCTATCTATCTATCTATCTATCTATCTATCTATCTATCTATCTATCTATCTATCTATCTATCTATCTATCTATCTATCTATCTATCTATCTATCTATCTAGGTCAAAAAGCAGTATGAAAAAGAACAATGTGCACACTGAGAGATGTCACACCTGTGGAGATTATCTATTTGTAGCTACACTATGAAAATGAGCTGGGCAGAGTGTGTGTGTGCGTGTGTATGTGCGCCACTTTGTGTGTAGACGTCTGTGTGTGTGTTTTCATGCATGCACCTGCAGCCATCCCAACATTGCCCATATACCTTTGGAGGAGGTGTGTCAGATCATTTTGCCTCGGTGCAGCTGGCGTTCTTCCCAGCTGAGTTGCAAAGTTTTGAGTTTGTCCACTTCACACACAGAACGGGTCTTGCCCCCCCCCAAAAAAAAAAAAAAATCAGTATCTCTGACACACCTCTGCCGGTGTATTTTTAATTTTCAATGGTTAACATTTTTCTTTATGCAAATATTGGACGTTATTGATCAATATATGCGTTTGCTTTGTCAGATTTTGCATTTGTGTAACTTTTTCTCTCTGTTGTTTTTGCTCCACAGGGGATTTGGGAAGCAAGGATTCCAGTGTCAAGGTAGGTTAATTGAAAGTGCACACACACACACGCACTCTTCTCACATTTGCCAAGCTCTCTTGATTTGAAAATGTCACAAATTCACTCAAAAGACAAAAATGCAACATGTCAAACATTGTTCTTTAAGTGCACTTGTAATTGGTTTGAAGAAACCGTTTCCTACGCTCAGTTCTAAACTTAAAACAGGCCACCCAACATCCCCGGTGTGCAATTAATTTTGACTGGCACAGAGAACAGCATCACAAAGCTCTGGGAATAGAATAAATGCCGGTGCAAAGGAGGAAATGACAATAACAATGATTATTAATTAATGCTTATGAATGTTTTGTTTGTCAAAACTAATGGGGGGGGAGGGGTGGAACGGCAGAGCGTGCTTGAAGCTTGAAACCTTCAAGTCGAAGCAAATAAATATTTGCACTGTTATTAACGATGACATAATCAGAGTGTCTGGCCCCCTTTGTTTCATGAAGTTGCGTCTGTGAAACGGCAAACATTTAGATTTAGATGACAAAAACAAAAGCTGAAGAAAATGTCGCTGGAAGCCTAAACAAATGTCCTGTCATCGGTTCATGCACGGTTCAGTGATGAGTGTCTGAGAAATTATGTAACTTGAAGGCTGAACTACACTTGATGAATAGAGTTAAAGGTCAAAAGTTTGCTCATTTTGGAATTTTGCAAGTGTTTTACATACAGCATGCAAACATACCACCACAGCATTTCACTTGGATTTTCTGTGACAGACCAACACAAAGTAATGTAATCGAAAAGGGGGGGGGGGGGGATTTAAAAAATTTTAACCATTTTTTAAAAAAAAAAATTTGGAAAGGGGGGCCA